ATAAATAAAAAAATTTAAAGATAAATAAAATCTAATTTGAGAAAAATTAAAATTCTTAATATTTATTGTTGATGAATCATTTATTTTGATTTTTAAGAATACACACAAAAGAGAGTTGCCACTAGCCTTCTCCCAAAACTCCCCTACTTGTAAAGTTGTAATCCTAAATGTGCATTATAAGATTTTAGAAAACTTTAATTGAAATAGACATGGGATGCAAAAGGGTTAAAGCCAACTGTAGTCCTCGTACTTTGTGAAATTGTTCGTTACCGTCCCTCTACTAAGGAAATGTTCGATGTCGTCCCTCTACTTTCCTTAACAGTATAAATGTCATCCCTCTACTACACATTTTTTGTTCAATGTCATCCCTAATGGGATGCCATCCACACTTCCGTTAATTTGACCCGTTAATTACTAACGGTCAAATATCCAACTTATTATTTATTAATTTTTTTAGACAAGTGGGACCATTTTTTTTTAACTCTTTCTTTTATTTCCTTTTCTTTCTTCCTCACGGTCATTTTCCCTGAACCACAGAACGGAGCCCCTGCCCTGCCCTTCTTCACCGCCTTCACCGTCTTCACCAGTTCACCAGTTCACCGGCTCACCAGTTCACCCATCCAGTTGTTCCTCTTCTTCACTCTTCTTCACCAACCTTCGGTCTTTCTTTCTTCGCCATCTTCACCATCTTCACCAGAAAACCTATGCCTAAAATTGCCCAAAATCGCCCAAATTTGCTGAACCCAAACTCGCCTGAAATTGTTGAAAATCATCTTGATTTTCTTCACCCAAATCACGCACCATCTTCACCACTTCACCCGATCGGTTGCTCCTCGTCTCCACCCTTCTTCTCTATATGTTCTGGCTTTCTTTCTTTCTTTGCCATTTTCACCGAAACCCACAAAATCCTACACCCAAAATCGCCCAGAATTGCCCAAAAATGCCGAACCCAAAATTGCCCAAAGTTGCCAAAAATCATCTTGCTTTTTCTTCCCCCAATCATGGAATCACCCAAATGTTGGAGCAATTGCTGTTAACCGTCGAATTTTTCATTTATTTTGTTTTGATTTTGGGTTGTGATAGTTACTGTTAATCATGAATTTTCTTGTTGATTTTGTGTTGAATTTGGGTTGGTAAGATCTGTTATTAATTGTTGTTGATTTTGGGTTGTGCTGTGGTATTATGGTTGATTTGGATTTTGATACATATAGTTTTTGTTTTATATTGCTGTAGAAGGATGATGAGGCTTGAGCTGAATTTTGGATTACATGTTACTGGATAAGGAGCAAACACTGATGAATGAGCTCCTATAATTGAATTTGGACGAGCTCCTGTAATTGAAAAGAGAGAATTCGAACCTGCTCCTGTAATTGAAAAGAGAGAATTTAGACCTGCATGGAGAGATTAACCAGTTGAAGAATTTGAACTCTGAAATGGGAAAAAAGCTCAGGGATCAAGAGATGGTTGCTTCAATTTGGTTGAATTTGAAAATGTGTTTTCTGCAATATTGCTTATTTGGCAATTAAGTTGTATTAGATAGTTTTCTGCATTTGTAGAGGGTCTTTTTATCTGCTTTTGTAATGTACCCCTTATGCCAAACCAGGCAATCTTCTATGTACTGCAAATGTGAAATGGAATATGACTCTTTTTTGGTCATGTTAATTGCCAAATTATGTCTATCTTTTGAGCATTTTCAGCTATATAAATGCAAGATTTGCTTGTACAGGACAAAACAAAAAAACAGAACTTAACCAAAAAAAACAAAAGTGCAGCAGATTGGTCTCTGTAAACTTTGCTCTATTGCTTGCTTATACAGGACATGACTTAAAAAAAATAGAGCAACAAAAACAAAAACAGGGCAGCACATTATAGGAATTTACATGCTCTAATTGTCCCTATCATAAACCATTAATCACATAATATAAACCATTAAATAGATAGCATTAACACTACTTGTCTGTAAACTAGAAAGAAGAAACAAAAATGCAGAACCAAAAGAAAAAAAAATGGTCCCACTTGTCTAAAAAAAATAATAAACAATAAGTTGGATATTTGACCGTTAGTAATTAACGGGTCAAATTAACGGAAGTGTGGATGGCATCCCATTAGGGATGACATTGAACAAAAAATGTGTAGTAGAGGGATGACATTTATACTGTTAAGGAAAGTAGAGGGACGACATCGAACATTTCCTTAGTAGAGGGACGGTAACGAACAATTTCACAAAGTACGAGGACTACAGTTGGCTTTAACCCGATGCAAAATAATGAGGACTTAACGTAAGAGGGCTAGAAATCGCTTGCGGTGTCGGTACGCCAAAGGAAGTGCCGATGCCTTTAATACATAGGCGAGGACCACTCCGTGTCAGGGATTTTGGCCCTGAGAGAAATTTTGATTTATGGCAAAATGAGAGAACTGGTCCATAACTTCAAGTTTCTGCATAACATAATCTTCAACTTTTTTATCTTTTTATTTTGGTCTTAAAAGTTATGATTTCTTCCAATTAAGTGTTTTCTTACACAAAAAAATAAAATTTATGTAAAATAAGGTAAAATTTCG